CCAAAAAAAAAAAGCAAGCATGTGCGACAAGACGCGATCCTATCGAGATTTGGACGAGGAGTTACAATGTCGGGTGCTGGGATACGGTAGGACCAAACAACTCGGGGAGACATCATAGCAACGGACAAATGACGGCATGGCCCAATCTGTAACATCGCTCCATAAGTCACCGGAGGCTTCGGTCGATGGAGTGCTCCGTGTAGGATCACGGCTATCGGCACAGTGGCTTACTTCTCCTCCTCTAGCCCGCTTCCTCTTGTTCTCCCCAATCTTCAAATCATGTAGCTCCATGGATGCTTGTAATCGAAGCTGGTATCCTTTGTATGAGCAATAAATCATCATGAGGAAGGCTATTGGGTTCCTAATTAACATCGAAGAGCTGCAGGTGTAACGGGAAAGGTCAAAGCCCTCACACATGATGGCCGTGGAAGTCAACTGAGAAGGGGGAAATGAAGTATGAGATGCCGAAAGGCCGACAAGTGGGCGTTGAGTCGGCCTTTTTTTGTAGCTTAGAGAATACTCCAACAAGGGTGTCGAGCTGGCACAAAGAGTTAAGAAAACCGCTGATATGGCATGTAAAACCGGGGCAAAAACAAATCGATTCGTGTTAGGGGTGTACGTCTTGAACGGTTTTGCAAATCCGAGCGGATAATATGAACCAAATCAAATTTTGAGATTGTCATCAAAACCACATGACGTGAATTTTGAGCGGATAATATTAACTGTCTCAAACTAAATCTAAGATCCTTCTAAAACGACTTCTTTTTTTTACTTATTTCAATGTGCCATCTCGTGGACAGCAACAACACGTGGTGTATGATCACCGACGAACAGTCGCTACTATACTATTAATTGAACCTGCGACGAAGACGCCTCTCCCATGGGACTCGATTGCTTGAACGGGTCTCCACTATTATTGGCCGTCGGCAAGCAAGCGTATCGTGTGATCAGGCTAAAGAAATACTTATTCTCCCGTGTACTTGCACCACGTATACCACGTAACCTATATTAATAACGAAATGAAACATGGCGGAAATTCACGATATTTCTTTGTTTAACATGGTCAAAGATTGCATGCGCGATGGGAGGACATCCAGCGTGTGATGTTTGACCAACGGACCGGCCGACCAGCTCACATGCAATGCACGTACGCGATGCAATGTCAAGTCACATACATACTCGGTCTCAACATTTCTCGGCACTGCTAAACTAATCTGCAATTTGAAAAATGAGCAAAAAAACCTAATCTGTTCCAGACATGCTACATAGCTCCTCGAACCTACTCGGAAAGTCAGGCATCCAGATGATCCGGGCATGCAAGTACATGTGCATAAACAAGAATGAATAGTTATCAGAAGAAAAGAAAGGAAATCTGAATGGGCACCAGATCCTACTGCTAGCTATGAACATGCGCACGTACGGACGTACGACGGCCGGCCGGCGGCGACAGCGCGCGAAAGCCGAGAGCGACCCGACCTGTCCGCCACGGCACCCGCGCGCCGGCCGATCCTAGCGGGGGACGGGGAAGGCGAAAATGGTTGGTCGGTCAGCTGCGGTCTCCGTCGACGTGGCGGCCGGCTTGCAGGTGATGCGATCTTTCAGACTTTTGGGAGTTAATTACACAAAACCATCATATTTGGGGCATCGTTTGCAGAAATCTACAAGGTCATTAATTTTTTTTAAAAACACTGCACACTCAGTAAACTTTTGGCAAAAAGCACTGATTGAGTGATTTAGATCATTTAATTAGTTTCTGACAGTGGGGCCGAATTGTCAGGAGCTGACTTGGCAAAACATTTACATATATACCATTAGATCTTAAAAATAAAAGCAATCAACCCCCTCCCCCTTCCCCCGCGAACAACAGATCCTTCCTAGCGCACAGCAGCGGGTGGGCACACCGGCCGGCGAGCAGATCCCGACGACATCTGCCTCCACCGTCGCTCCTTACGCCGGATCCGCCTCTACCTGCAGCCGGAGCGCAAGGCGCAACTGGGTTCTCGACCTGCAACCCCAGCCTCGACCTGCAGTCGGACGGCAAGGTGTAGCCAGAGCCAGAGCCTCAACCTGCAGCTGATGTACAAGGCCCTTCGGTGGCGGTAGCACCAGCCGTGCCTGGTTCCCAGGCCGCCGGCGCGGCCCCTCATCCGCCTCCACCGCTCCAAGGCGCAGCCAGAAGCCTACCCTCCGCTCCGCACGCCAGGCTGCCACAGCCTCCACATAATGGAGCGGTACACGCGCAGCACAGCTTGTGCTCGCCCCAGTCGTCGTCCTTCCGGGAGCAGCATCACTGGGCGGCACCAAGGGGAGCAGCAGAAACATGGAGAAGCACGACAGTCGGCAGAAAAGCATGGCGCGGCGAGCAACAGCTAGACGGCGAGGGGAGCAGCAGCACCACGGAGAAGCGGGGGAGGAGGAGCAGTTGGTGGCGATGGTGAGGAGCAGCAACACCGGCGAGCAGTCGAGGGGTCAACGTGCGCGTGCAAGGGCGGTCACCCTGGTCGCCACGAGATCGAGATCGGGCTCACACGTGGGGGATCTAGGCGTGGTGACGCGCTGCACTTGTACACAGCCAGGGTGTTGATTGCACTTTTTAGATCTAGGGGTGTTTACATCAATTTGTGCCAAGTCAGCATCTTACAATCGGGGCCCATATGTCGGGAAAGTGCTTAAATAGGTTAAATTTCCCGATCAGTGCCTTTTGCAAAAAGTTTACTAATTGTGCGGTGGTTTTTACAAATAATTAGTGACCTTGTGGTTTTCTGCAAATGATGCCCCAAATGTGGTGGTTTTGTGCAATTAACTCGACTTTTGGAACGGGCGGTACAATGAACACTGAAATAATAAAAATTACATTCATGTCTCTAGACCATATAGTGACGACTACAAACATTGAAGCGAGCTAAAGGCGTGTCGCTGTCATGACTCCTTCCTCACCGGAGCCGCACCAAACTTATCGTAGTAGACAATCAAAAAGTCATCAACAAGTGAAGTACAAAGCAGAAAACAACTATGGCAGAACAATTACAAGATATGAATGCAACACCTACAACTATGTCGTCTTCTTCCGCAACAACGCCTTCAAAAAAGGATAAGCACCCTTTCATTGCTGTCGTCATTTGAACAGCATCTTCAACAAGATAACGACATAAATTTTCGCCGTTCCTGAGCCCGACCAACAAAGGTCAGAATAAGAGTTTTCACCCTAAACACATGAAGTGTGTTCCGAACAACATCCTGCCAGTTCTCCACGCTGGACCAGAGTGGCACTTGCATATTTTTTCAAGCAAGAGCTCGTCATCCAAACACGTCCATGTCTTGTGATGGAGAGAGTCTACCCGCAGGAGAGGGTGCAAGGGTATGGACGGAATTGATTCACCACTGTTGGCGTGGACGTGGATTATATATCTACCTTTCGGACTCTGTTATTGCACGCTAGACCTCGAATAATCGACGTCAGCACTACGCATGTATTATCTGGCCGACTTTGGCGTTCAACCTCCTAGCAGCCGCAGTAAGCAGGTCATCAGTGCACCATCAGGACAGTGGAATTTTTGCCTTTATATTCACCTTTTCAAGTTTCAAAAAGGTCTGAAAAAATATGCAAGTATTTATAGGTGTGTACTAGATGCGTGTGAAATTTCATCATGAAATACGCTTTTATGTGGCCTGTACAAAAAAATCATCATGTGCTTTTATAGTGAATAGTATTTGTGCTAGAAATATGTGATTTTGACATTTTTTGTGTAGCTCGCACAAAAATGTATTCATCATGAAACTTCGCAGACAAGTAGTATACATCCACACATATATCTGTACTTTTTCAAAAAAAATGAAAATGAAAATTTTGAATTTTGAAGTTTTCAAATAAGGAGCATTTCCGGCTCCACCAGTCCATACTATAAGGTGTGTGCGGTTTTTAGAATTAATATTTCACCAGAAATTTAACCAATAAAATATGAAGTCATGATATTTATACAATTGAATTCGTGTTCAAAACGAAGTATTCAACGATATAATTTTTCAGCCGTATGATTTATCATACTATTGGTTTAACTGA